TTACCAAAGACCCCTTTCTCCCAGCCTGTTTCTGCAAATCACTACTGAAAGGCCAGGAGAAGAAAGCCATAATCGGGCAGGTGTCTTTATTCCAAAGAAAAACAGTCTGAAGGCATATTTGTGAGATACCACACATTTATAGCCTGCTCTCCTGGGGGCACTGGTCCTGGAGTGGAATCTCTCTGTTGTACTCGGCTTGCCCCCCAACTCCCCTGCCTCACCCCCAAACCACCCCCACTCCTCACACCCACTGCAGGGTTCCCTTTAGAAGAATCAACTGAAGATTTTTCACCATAGAAATAGCTTTCTATTTTACAATGACACCAGTTACACATTCTTTGATTTAAAATATCCAAAAAAGTACAACAAAATTCTAAAGAAGAAGATATAAAACCATCATCTAGAAGTAATTAATGATATTCTAGCATATACATGTGCAATGCTTATGTTTGTGTGTGTGTTGAGGCAAAAATGAGGTTGAATTACACACATAAAATTGTAATCTGCTCTCTTCACTGAAAAAATTGTAAATATCTTTCCCCATAATAAAATAATCTACCTCATAATTTTCACATAGCCATTGAATAAATCTTAGCATCGCCATCACAACTCTGTATTCATTTCCTTCAAATCACAAATTCGAAGAATTTAAAGAATGAGGATTTTTTAAATCCTCATTCTTTAAATTTATTTGTAAGTCTATTTGTTGTCTGCCTTTCTCCAGAAAATACAGGCTCCATGAGGACATGGATTATGTCTGGTTGTTTTGGGTTTTTTTTACCACTATATCCTTGGCACCAAACATTTTGCCCAGCACAGAGAAGAGCTATGTTACCCAGCACAGAGAAGACTGCTGCATAACGAATCACAAACTTAGTGGCTTAAAACTGCACCCATTGATTATCTCATAGTTTTGTAGGTCAGGAGACCAGTCAGGCACCACTGGGTTGTCTCTGTGGTCTCAAAAGGGGAAAGTCAAGGTATTAGCCAGGCTGGACTTTAACCTGGAGGCTCTGAGGAAGCACCTCCCTCCGTACTCATTCAGGTCGTTAGAATTCAGTTTTTGTGAACTGAAGCTGGTAGAACTGAGGTCCTGTTTCCCTGCTGGCTGTCAGGTGGGGACTCTCAGATCCTGCAGGGCACTCTCAGGCCCCTGTCCCATGGCTCCCTCCATCTCAGCACAGCATACCCTTCTAGTGTGTCAAATTTTCCCACTTTCCCTTTTGCTAGCAGAAAGAGGAAAGTCTGCTGTTGAAAAATTCCTGTGATTAAATTAGGTCCACTCATCTCTCTTTTGTTAACTCAGAGTCAAGGGATTAGTAAACTTAATTCCATTCATAAGGTGACATGATCATGCGATGAGACATTCACTATTCAGATGCCAAAGACAAGAGCAGGAAGTCTTTGGGGAGGGAGAGGCGGTGGGGGTGTGACTTTAGGACCCTGCCTACTCCAGGTGCTCTCTCGTACCTGGGGAATGAATGAGGGAGTCAACGTGTTCTGTTCCATGAACTGTGCTAGACACAGGGAGGCTAACTAGCAGGACTGGCCTGCTCCACCGTTCTAGAGCCCAGACCAGTGTGGTTCAATAGAAATACAATGCAAGCCATGTCTGTAATTTGGAGCCACAAGAACATAGCTGTATTAAAAAGAGTAGTAAGAAATAGGTGAAATTAATTACCATTAAATATTTAATTTTCTCCAGTATATCCAAAATATTATTTTAACATGAAATGAATATAATAATAATATTCATACTAAATCCAAAATTTAATATATTGATTTATACCCATTCAACTTCAGCATTTTAAAAAACTAATTTTGCCCTGGCTGGTGTAGCTCAGTGGATGGAGTACAGGCCTGGGAACCAAACAACCATGGTTCAATTCCCAGTCAGGGCACATGCCTGGGTTGCAGGCCAGTTCCCAGGAGGGGACGCACAAGAGGCAACCATACATTGATATTTCTCTCCCTCTCTTCTTCCCTTCCCCTCTAAAGATAAATAAATAAAATATTTAAAAACACTAATTTCATACTATATCTTAAAAATCCAGTGTATATTTTACACTTACAGCACATCTCAATTTGTGCTAGCCACATCTCAAGTGCTGAGTAGGCACACGTGGCCAGTGGCTCTTGTCTAGACAGGTCACCAGAAGGGGACAGTGCAGTATCTGAGAGACATCCTGTGCTACTTCCTATACTCGGGGGGTCAGGAAAGGTTTCTCAAGAAGACATGACATCTAAACTGAGATTGATTAGTAAGTAGGAATCAATCAGGTAAAGGGTTGGGATAATGCACATCAAACAGAAAGAAAAGATGGTGAGGTGGAGAGAAAAAGAAAGCATTAGGACAGCAGAAGCAAGTTCAGCAGAGGCGGAACATGGAGCACGTTGCTGGAGAGAGAGAGGCCAGATGGGCCTGGAGTCCATCTTCCACCCGAGGACAGTGGGATTGTATGTGAGGGTTGTAAACGTGGAATGCAAGATGAAGTTGCGGTCGTCACTGAAGTAGCACTGTTGTCTGCACTGGGTGAGAATACAGAGTCCAGTGCTGTAAGATAGGATGGGCCAGCTGCGACTATCCAGGTGAGGGAGGACTGGCCAGAGATTTTCTCACAGTGTGTAGCTCTTTGCTGAAAGCCAGGATTCCTTTTTTAATTTTTTTAACCGTGTGCATATTTGCCCCTCAACAAGGGGTCATCTGCATTTCCAAGAGCTGACCATGTCCCTAGAGATTCTTTCTCTTGAATCCATTTAGGGCTTCTGGCTAACGGATTGTCTGATTGAAGGACACTGTTTGAGACTTCTTTTGCCACAGCATAAACCTTATCCCCAAACAATGCACTGCCTTGTGACCTGTTGCCTAGCTGCAAATCTTTCTCTCAACTGAGTAAATGATTGTTCTTTGCTACTTTATCTTGAAAAAAACATCAAGGCCATCGAACATTCACTGTAATTATTTTTCACTCATTTCCCCATCAGTTAAACACAACTGGTGCATTTTGGTACTACTTTGGGTTTCTCTTTCCCTTTTAATCAGGTGGCCTTTTAATATATTGGTCAGCCTTTTAAAAGGATGATTAAGAAATGCTTAATGCACAAAAGAATTAGAGCTATGCACAGCTCACGAAGCAGAAAGCGTGCTCTGACTTACAATTTTCATACGAAGTTTGCAGGGATTTTATGTGCCGGAATGAGTAATACGATCTCCTCTAGGAACTCCCTAGCTTTCTGGCTCTGCAAAAGTCATTTTTTTTTTGCCCTGATTCAAGTTTCTTAACCAGAAGAGTTACACCAAACTCCTCAGAGTATGAATTAGCAGAGTTCATCCAAGCCACATATTGCATTAACACTGTTTAATGATGGCTTGAAATAACGGCCTACCTGGGCAGACACCGGGATCTTTGGCACACTCATTAGTCAGTGTGACTTGAGAAGTGCTGTGTATCAACCACCAAATCAGACAGCTCAGGCTGTATATAAAAAATGGCTCACACGTGTGTGAGTGTGTGCGTGTGTTTGATCTTTCCCCTCCCTGCCATATTCCCCAGATAGCTGCACTATTGCCATATGCCCGGAAACTCCCAAAGTATTCATTCAAAGGCCATATGTGAATGATAATGATGCAGATGCACAAAGCTGAGCATCAGCAGGGAAGAGAGTCATCATTTGAAAGGTCACTGTGGGATGGTGCTCTCTTCTTACCCATTGTACTCTTTCTTTCCAGACTGCAGTTGTTTCCACACTCAGGGCCTCTTGCCAGGACAGTGAGAAAACCCGAGGTGCTCTGGGTACCTGTTCCCCAGAGCAGGAAACATGCAAATGCATGCTGCTGCATTTAGGGTTGAGTTTAAGCTTATACACAGGCCTTTGGATGTGGAGATGAAAGCCAACTTTGTTTCACTTTGCTCTACTTAAAGAGATGCCAATATTCTTTATTATATTATATTTTTATTGTGGTAAAATATACATAAAATTTACCATTTTAACCAACTTAAAGTATACAATTTAGTAGCATGAAGCACATATGCAGAATTGTACAACCAATGCTACTCTCCATTTCCAGAGCTTTTTTATAACTGCAAACAGAAAATCTATGCCCACTCAGCAGTACCTCCTCATTCTCCCCTGGAGCCCTGGTATTCTCTAATCTATTTTCTGCATCCATGACTTTGTTCCAGATATTTCATGTAAGCGTAATCATACAGTATTTGTCCTTTGGTGTCCAGTTTATTTCACTTAACATGTCATCAAGTTTCGTGCGTGTTGTAGCATGTGTCAGAAATTCCTTCCTTCCTGGGACTGAACCATGTTCCATGGTGTGTATATACGACCTTTCATTTCATTCTGAGTGCTGATGGACACGCGGAAGTTGGTTCTGGCTTTTGATTACTGTGAATAATGCTGCCGTGAACACTAGTGTACCTGTTGGTGTCCCTGCTTTCCCTTCTTCTGGGTATATACCTGGCTGTGAAATTGCTGGGCCCAGTATTCTTTAAATTGTTGCACATGGTTTGTAAGTGAAATGTTAAGTTTTCTCACCAGAAAACTTAAAGTGTTGACTGCCTTTAACTCTCTAATTTCTATAAAGTCAAGTTAAAAATGATTTATAAACCATATTCATTATAAAAGTGTGGAGAGAAAAAAAGTGACATGTAATTTGATCACATAGGAATAATCACTGGAACATTGTGGCATCTTTCCTTTCAATTTCTTTTTGCATATCAGGAGACAGCTGAAACCTATATTTACATCTTTTGAAAAAGACTCCTTTTCAAATGTGTTTGCAGGACACAATTTAATTTTCTGTCCACTTTATCCTTACTATATGCTCTCTCCTCATTGCTACCGTCTCCCTTCGCCAATCCCAACCAACCCTAACCAAGAGAGTGGTGGGGGGTCAGTGCAGGGGAGGGAGGTGAGGAGCCTCTGTGAGAATTATCCCCAGTACCACTGCCAGGTCCTGGGATGCTAAATGATGTGCTTTCTTGTTGCAGCTATCAGAAGGGCTGACTAAAGGGAAAACTCAGCTCTGCAGCAATATTCTGATAATCTATTGCAGTGTGGCTCACATCACCGTCCATCACCACCTGGAATGCTCATCGGGACTGAAGAGGAGTCTCACTTCCATTACTGAGCACGATTCTGTTCTACCTGATATTTCCTTCATCATCTCATGTCGCTCCATTGGTTGGAAGGAAGAATGTGGCAGAGGAGAAAAGTGTTAGATCTTCCTTTTTTTTTTTTTTTGGCCAGGATTTGGGCATTTAAAGTTGGATCATCTCTTCTGAATGTCATTATTTGATAACATTTTATTTATGTTACTTCAACATCATTGACTAAATTTTGAATTCCACGGGATTTCAACTGTGAATTCAGCTTCTACTGGACAACTAGCTTCATCTCCAGTTTTTCTGCTGGTTCAGTCTAAGTGGTCATTCCTAAATGCACTAGATTATCAAAAGGTATGAATTCTGTGAGTGAGTGAGTGAGTGAGTGGTGTTGGCAGTGTTTGTATATCAAGATGCATGGAGTGTTTGACAAAGAAACCAAAACACCAAAAATGGCGAGCCTTTACCCTCCTCTATTTCTTTAATCTGCTGTTCAAAGAACCACATTTTGATGGTGTAACCAGTAGTTACCTCTGGGCCAGGTTGGAAATGAAATCAATTTTTTAAACCACTAATACTTGCCAAGAAATCGCCTTATGAGAACATGGTGTGTGTCTCTGACAATGTGTGGCACATCTAAATTGATCATTCATGATTTTATCGACCCTGTTTCTGTACTGGAGAGTGGCAAAAGCCTGAGGCACCTGCCTAGTTCTGTTCTGCGTGCTCCATGCACCCCCGCGGCTCGGGAATGGCCAAGCCTCAGACTCTTACTATTCCCGTACGTTCAGGTCTCCATGAAGAAGCTGGGACTCATTCTCATTTCCAGATCCAAATGCTGTGCAAACAGTGTGAGCTTAGTAGATCTTCTGTAAATGAAAGGTCATTTCTCAATTTTTAAAAAATGTCTCCAACATGGATTCCAATGCATTTTCAGCATCAAACATGAAAACATTGATGAATGAGAAATAATCACAAAAGCTGTGTATCTGTATATAGCTCTACAACATGTTTGTGGGCACAGAGTCATTATTTAAAGCACATGCCAGGAAAAGAGACCAAATTTTGAGGTCTTTTACATACAGTGACATGGTACTAAGGAGAACTAAACTCCTACTGCTTCCTCTGAAGATTAAAAAGAAATTAAAGTGTTATAACTTCATAAAACTCATGACCAAGTCTGGCAAACATGTGCAACTCTTGTATTGATCCATTTTTTTCTTTGTCAATGGAAGAAACCCTTCCACGTGTATGCAAGTGGGAGATGAAAATCTGCATTTTTAAAGGACAAACAGTGAATTTAAGCATGAGTGGCCTTAATAAATATAATTGTCTTTCTTTGCTGCTGTGGAAAGGATTCTAAACAGATGTTTCTGAAGTCTTGCATTGAATTTAGTTGTTATTATTACTTTTTCAAATGTTGGTGCAATTAACTGGACCTCTCCCGTGAGCCATAGAGATATTTGAAGACACCTTATTTGTCAGGAAAGACGAAACTGTGTCTGAGTTGCACTGTTCATCCTTGGTGCATTAGGAGTAATCTATTCAAGCAGGTTTCTTGCTTCTGGCTTTGTTCTTGTTCTAAGTATAGTGAGCTCTGTAAAGCTTATGTGTTGCATAAACCATCCAAATACATTCATGTTTTAAAAGTTTGTCCTTTAACTATCAACGGGGTATAGGTCTTGATTGGAAAAACGAGCAGAACTCTTTGCACATGTATTTAGCACATTTTGACACAATGTTGCACTGAAAACCCAGGTCACAAATGTGGCCCTATGAACGGTTTGGAAGTCCTCACATAGATGGTCCTCACTGCCTCTTACAGCCAAGTCCTGACCTGATCTCTGCAACTGAAGACTTGAAGTAGGAAGTGGAAGATCCACTAGGGAAATAGGGTCCTTGAAACAGACAAAAGCATACTGTTAGCTATTTCTAAGTATGTGCCAATTTCATTACAGCTATTGTTTGGGGAACCATTTTTGCCCCACTTGTGTTTATTAAAAATATTACTGATCTTACCTTTATGGGGGGTATATCATTTAGCCCCTGGAAAATTAAATTCTGTCTAACATAGCATCTCTTCCCATTTCATGTAACATTCCTGATGTTTGGAGGTCACAAAAATTCTCTTTTAATATATTAAAAATAGTCTCTGGGTTTACGACAAACACTGTGATGTTGGGAAGACACTTCCTTTGTGCAAACTTTAGTAGGTCACCCTCTAATCATAATGAAGTTGGAAATAAAAGAAGTTGAGGCTAACGGTTGGGAGAAGGTGGTCTTCTCGCCTTGTGCAAAAGCAGGCTTGTCCTTTATACCCGATTTGATTTCCTTGTACAGTCTCGATTTTGTATTTAATGATTTTTTGTGTATCCAGTATGCACGTGAACAGCGTGTCAACTTTCATTTGGAAGTGGGTTTCAACTTACTTTTTAAACAGTGTTTATGACAAGACCTCAGCTGTGTTGACATAAGTTCTATCTGAGATGTTTCTGTGTCGAGTGGCGTTTGAATGCTGCCAGGGGTCAGTGTATCTAATTCCCAGAGACCCTCGTTTGATAGTGCTTCTTGTAATATTTCTTCAAGTGAGTGGCATGTGGGTTGTGATATTGACTATGTGATTATGGACTTTGATAGGAAATAAATAACTAAATAAAACTAAGGAACCCTCAGAAACTACCAGTGGGCATGTATTAGCCAGTCATTGTAACCTCTTGTCTAGTAGAAGTACAATGTGCAAGATATGTACAGTTCATAAATTTGTTATCATGTGTATGAGAAGTACTTTGTGCTGATCGCCTTATTTATATTCATCAAATAAACTTTGTTTCTTTCTGAAGTGAGTTCATTCTATCTCTAATAAATGTTCCAGTTGTGGTGGTTTCTAATGTTTTTTTTGGGGGGGGGGCAGTGTGGGGTCATGGGTCTCCATTTGAAGAACCTATGGACTTGAAGAAAAGAAAGGAAAAGGAAAGTTAGGAACTAACTTTACCAGAACAGCCAAGGTATAAATTTCTCTGTATGCATTGCTGAATATAGAGATTAGGATTAAAAAATTGAGTCATTGAATGTATCTCCCTTCTTCCTTCTCTCCCTCCTTCTTTTCCGTTTTTGCCTTTCTCTCTCTCAGTGCTTCACTCTTTATCTTTCTCCTTCCCTCCTTCTTTTTCTACATTCCTCCTTTTCTTCCTGTTTCCCCTGCACTTTTCATGGGATTCATATCAGCCTCTGCGAGGTCCTCTTCACTTGGTGGCGAAGTTGACTCCCAATGGCTTTGAGGATTCTTGGACTTTAGAAGGGAGTCCTTCCCTCCCCAACATCCATGTCAGCCCCATAAAGGGACTTTCATTGGTTCATTTTGGATCATGCATCCAATTACTTTATTCAGGGGAGTTGGGAGGGTGAGACCTAGTGATTGATAGCCATAGTGGGTGTGAGAGGGGCAGTTTCCAAAGGGAAAAAGATGGGCTTTCTTCTAGAAGAGGTCAAGAATGCTGGAAGGCAGAAATAATGGCTAGCCCTGCCATGACTTGGATACACACACAAAATCATCCAGAAAAATATAGAAAATTGTTCACAAAAGGGCTTGCCAGCCTTCACAACCCACCTGTGGATCACAATGGGGACCCAGCTGCTGGCTTCTTTAGAGGTTTGAATATATTGCAGGAGATGAGTTGCCAATTCTTACCTTCACTGAAATCAAAGGGTAATGGATTATCACAGCTAGAACAGATGTTAGATGTCATTGTCCCCAGCACTTCTGAAACAGGACTGTGTGTCCCTGAGGATTCTCTGTGGAGAGGGTGGGACAAAATCTCCCCCCATTTGGCCTTTGACAATGCAGAGAAAATATCATTTGGTTTCTGTGCTTTATGGACTCAAAGCCACCAGCTATGAAATTCTCTCACAGTCAGGCATGTTTTAGGGTGAACTGCAAAGTCATTTGCCCATTTCATTATGTTGCCTTTTGTAGAAAAAGAACTTTTGTTGGACAAGGATTTCTTACCTCGTAGAACTTCCTGAAGCAGCCGGCTTGGTTTCAGGTCTGGTTATATAAACTCAGCTGGCCAGATGGAGCCCCTGCTGCCTAATCCACAAACCAGTCCTTTTGGTGAGAAAGGCACCAACCCACACACCACTGGATTTTACCGCAAGTCAACCTTTAGCGTCATGGAGACCCATAGACTTAATTTCAGTACACTTGAGGTTTTGACCTTGCAAATCTGCCTTGACTGTTCCTGACTGCTTTAGCAGTTCCGCGAACTGCTAAAAAGAATTAGAGAAACACTCTAATTCTTAGTATTGCTGATCCATAGTAGTCATCATACTAACAATAAGTAAAGGTGGAAAAAATAATTGAATATTGAGCATTTGCTGGGAGCCAGGCCACAGGGCTAAAGACTAATGTGCAATTTATTTACTCCTGATAACAGTCCTATGAGGTGGGTACTGTCATGACCCACGTTTGACAGTGAGGGAAGTGGAGCCCACAGAGATGACAAGTAACAGTGCATATTTGTAGAGCACTTATTTGGTACAAGCGCTGTGCTTACATGAACTCATTCACCCTCCCAGTAATCCCATGAAACAGATACTATTATTATTCTCACTTTATAGACAAGGAAGAGAGCATCCAGGGAGCTTACATATCTCACTCAAGGTCCCCTACAGGGTCTGTTCTGTGGTGGAGTCAAGCTTTGAACCTACTGCTCAGCAAGCTCCCCTCTTGCATGCATCAGGCCCCAGGTCAGATGGGAAGGGACATTCTGGGCTGGGATTCAGATCCTACCGGTGCCCACCCAGCAGTGCTTCCTTGTTGTAGGTGTGGCCTCTAAAACACCTATAAAGCTCACAGGTGCTAAAAGGAATCAGTTGCTTCATCAGTGCTACAGTTGACCCATATCATGAGAGAATAGCCATGGATCCCAGTGAAAATCAAGCCACATGTTAAAAGAGAATCCAGACAAAGCTTAGTACATTGGATATAAACTTGCTATCCATGGGTCTCACGGATTTCTTCTGAGCCCTGGACATTAGCCTCTCTGTCCTCCTAGGCATCCTTGGGTTTGCAGGGTAGAGTATCTGGGACAAGAGACCTGACAGGTGTCCCCAGGTAGGAGAGGGCTTGAGTGCCATGTTGAGTGGGGTAGACATAATGATGCTGTTGGCCATTGGTTTTCAACTTCAGGCATTTGAATACCACTTTCCTGGCTTTTGATATATCTGAATAATTAAAAAAAATAAATGGTCTCACATTTTATTTAAATAAATTTACTTTAGGAAAAGAAATCTCTATCATAAATCAGAAGATAGGATCATTTTCAGTTTACATACATTACCAAATAGAACAATGAAAATAATGAAAACAAAGTTCTAAGCCTCTTTTCTTTGTTAAAAGTGGGGGCTGGCAAAGGTTAGTGAAGTACTTCCAGAGCTAAACTGGGAGTTTCTCTTTGTTACTGAATCAGGACTGAGAAATGATCGATGAAGGAATTTTTAACCATGTGGTTTAGGGTTACTTCAGACTTTGTTTGTGAACCACATAAAAAACATTTCAAGGACCCAGTTTGGTCTCTGAATTTAAGGAAAGCCTCCTGCAGCAAAAAAAAAAAAAAAAATCCAGTGATGGATTTTTGAATAAACTTTATTTTTAATAGACTTTACTTTTTAGAATAGCCTTAGATTTTTTAAAAATTGAGCAGGTAGTGTAGAGAGTTCCCGTATAACATCCCCTCACTCCACATGTACTGTTTCCTGTATTATTAAGATGTTTCATTAGTAAGATATAGTTGTCACCAATTAAACCACCATGGATGCATTGTTGTTAACAATAGTCTTCAGTTCATTCAGATTTCCTTAGTTTTACGCAATGTCCTTTTTCTGTTCCAGGATCTCGTCCAGGTACCACATTACATTTAGCTGTCATGTTTCCTTAGGCTCCTGTTGGCTGTGAGTTTCTCACACCATCCTTGTTTTGAAGATCTTGGTGATTTTGAGGAGTATATCATAGGTTACCCATCTTCTGGGACTTGTCTGGTTTTTCTCATGATTAGACTGGAGGTTTGGTTTATGGGAGGAAGACCACAGAGGTAAAGCTCTACTCTCATTACATCATACGAAGCATACGTATTTTCAACATAACTTCTGGCTTTGATCACCTGGCTGAGGTAGTGTTTGTCAGGTTTCTCCACTGTAGTTACTTCTTTCCCTCCTTGTGGTAGATTTTTAAAGTGCAGAAATGAATGAATACACCTCTGTCTTGGAAAGAATGTTCTACCAGCAGTGTAGATGATACACCAACTAGAAAGAAAAAAATTCTAAACGTCTTTGGACAAAAATTGTTTGAATCAACAGCTGTGTTGTTTGGACCAGTTTCCCCTACTATTTGAAAATATCTTTTCCTCCTTTAGCCTTGCCTTCCCCTGTTGGATTATGAGAGCATCTATGACAGGAATGATCGATGTGGGTGGTAGAGACCCTTTCCCGACGCAGGGCAAAGCCTACATTTTTATGGTTTAAAAACAGATGTTGTCTATGTCAACACAGTGACTTCACTTAGAGAGAACTCAGGAGAGAAACTTTGCATAAATTCAAGACAAAACCTTCATGTCTATATAACTGCCACTCACTGGATAAGGACATTATGGCTCTTAGAGTTTGAAAGGAGAAGTATGAGGATTTATTTGAATAAATGCATCTTTTAGGACTTTTCTTTTGTAAGTACCCCCTCCAAAGAAGAAAAAATGAAAAAATTAACCCAAGATACTTTGAGCAAATATAAAACACACACACACACACATATACATTGCTTCGTGCAATAGTTTAGAGGTAGTAAGTTTCAGGTGTGGTTTATCCAAGAAGCTGAACTGACTTCTTACTCTTCGTTTCTTGGTTCTGCGTCTTTCATGTTAATGCATTACCAAGCCTTCTCAAGGTTGAATGTGAGGCCCCAGAACCTGCATTTCTCACCTGAGGGGAGGAGTCATGTGCTTTTCTCTGCTAGGAATGGAGCCCACTTCAATCTTGTGGTCAAGAAGATGTGTAGTTCAATTGGTTAGAGCATTGTCCCAGTAGGTTAAAGCTGTGGATTCTGTCCCTGGTCAGGGCCAATAAGGAAATCAACCAATGAATGGGTAAATAAATAAGTGGAACAACAAGTTAATGTCTCTCTCTCTCTTTCTAAAAAACAATCAACAGACAAATTTTTAAATAAAGAAAGGGGGAAGGCGGACGCCCTAATAAGAAAGGAAAATGAATTCTGAGGAGGCAAACATCAAATGCATAGAGTAGTGTTACATGGTCACAGAAAAACAACCATAGAGACTGATTCATTTTTCTTTTGAATGGACTTTTGACCCAGAGAGGAGCAACAAAATGTGTGTTCAGCATCAAAATGGCAATCAAGACACCCCCACTGAAATCTCAGTTGTATAATTATCTGCCTCACTTGCTGTTAGGGTAGGGAGCATGCGATCCTATTACTGCATGCACCCTCTGTGAATGTAACCAATGAGAAGTATATGTCTCCTAACTACCCAACATGGACTATGAAAGGATAAAATGAGAACATGTTTAGAAAAAATAGTTTAACAACAAAAATCTCTCCATAACTCTAACAAAGTCCTAGAGTAACTTGTTTCAATTTTTAGAACCTGTATTCGGAGAAGGAACTCTTCCTCCTTAGCATCTCAGGTATAAAGTACTGAGGTGAGTATGTCAAACAATAGATTTGAGAATACAAGCCACTGAGAAGGAACTGTTCCCACATGCCACAACATGGATGAATCTCC